GATTTATGACAAATCACAGTGGAAAAGAAAAAGGAAAAAATATGTGACACTGTTTGGAAAATAAGTAGTAATTAAGATTGCCCCCCCCCCCCCAAAAAAAAAAAAAAAACATAACAAAAAAACGAGACAGCACGGTTATTAAATATGCTATACTTGAACCATGGTCTACCGATTTATCTTAATTGAGATTGAACCAATACGAACTAAAATTCAACCATGTCACTCTTTTGCACCAAACTAATAACAGCAATGTAGACAAAGTAAAGGTAAAGTAAAAACTGCTGAGAGAAAGGCTATCTAAACTAAACTTTTTCATTCATAATTGTTGTTTATTGGAACCACACATAATTTTACATGAATATGCATGTCACTGTAATTGAAACTCAAAACATTTCAGCAGGGAAAACTAATTGTAAGCATTTTCTAAAGGCCTCATGCTCTGTTTACTTTGGCATTAAATCGCTCAATGAAAATAAATTATGCCCTAAAGCTGCTTTAGTAGCAGAATTACAATAAGAAAAAATGCACTCATCTTTCTCTAGGTGTCAAACAGGTCTATTCTTGACTCTCTTCAAAGGTACCGCAATTGGTAGAAAATGAACAAATAGAGCAAGTCAATAGAGCTTTGTTTTGCAGAAATAATTCTAATCCTACGTATGTCATGATTGTAGCTCATAAAAGGGTATATGTTCAGTGCCTTTCACTTTTGAGTAATTCCCACTTGCAACCCTAAGCGATATCTCTTCTTTTGGCAGGAATTGCAAACAGCCAAGCATGCCATACATAGTATTACAATTATTTCAACAAAACAAAGCTCTACTGTCAAACTAAAGAGTGCACTGGGTCAAAGGGTCACTTAGAAAAAGCAAAGTCCAGTTCAGCTAGTTTCACAATAAGATCAGTAGCATTTACAGCATGGCTTTATTAAGTCAATTCAGAACTTTTAAGAATGATATTGAACTTTGGTTGTACGTGGTTTCACCAACCTTGGCTAACTATATTCAGCTTCAATGTTAAGATATACTATGATCAAAAGGAGAAGAAGGTGGATTTACTCATAATGTCGCCTGTAAGTTAAAGAGATTAACAAAACACCATCCAGATCTGCCAATATAGAAACCCTAAACAGTTTTAACACTACATGTATTTAGTATGTAACATATGTATTTATATGTGTGCAGTCTGTACTACATGTATTTAACTAGCAAAAGCTCACCCAGTATATGAATGGGTTTAAGTTAGGTGTGTTTTACCATTAAAATATCGTACTCGGTATACACAGCGGGTTTAGACCATAGACACAAGCAAAAACAAGTATGTAATTCTGTGTTTACTCAAGTAACACTGACCATTCTTATTTGGGTACCAAGTAATGAGAAGGATGAAAAAAAAAACAATCCATGTGATAACTTACAGAGATGAAATGTCAACAAATAGACAAATGCAAGTAGAAACAGGTTACCAGTATGCAGTAACCTGTGAAGGTAGATCTTGGGATTCAGGAATTGTTCCTAAAGTGTCTGATTCTAAAAAAACTACCACACTCAAAAATCTAACATCCAAAACCACAGTAAGATCAATCAAAACTGAAGAACAGATCGGAAAAGAAAGCCAAAACCGCGAAACCAAAAATCCCAATGCTCCAATTACAGAACACATCTGCACAAAGAAGATTTTACAATGAAAGCAAATACTATTAATAAAAATGATAATAAATCTATCTTTGAGAAAGAGTTCCCTCAGATTGCAAAGGCGCTTACAAGATACAAGAAACAGACTTATGAATCTAGGCAATTGTGTATTTTGTTGCATGAGGGAGCTGTACCTAGTGTGAAGGAATTTTGACACCTTGATAAAGGAGACATTTAATACATAACCATAATGACTGATCCATTGATAAAATCAGCAACATCCTGTCCAATTCAATTTCCAGTCTGCTCACTTCTAATCTTAAAGTAGAGATTAGTCACAACATGATAGCTTTTATTATCTCTCCAAAGCCACTAAGCAATAAACTCTCTCATGCCTGAATGCCTTTTTCCTTAATATCTAACATTTCACAAATAATATGGATGAGTGTGGTTTCCTTGCTTTGACATGATAATCAAGTTATTTTGCTATGTAAGCAAATAACTCACTATTGATATAGAGCATAACACAACACTATTATAACACAACCCTCAAAATAGCTTTTAAATATCTATTGAAAGCCCAACAATAATTTCTGCTGAATAATCAGCCTTGCTAAAGTAATTAAGTTATTGCCCACAGTAGGCTGACTAACAATCAGAAATGCCTGAAAGTGCTGAGAAGTACATTTACCAAGCTTTGGGCTTCTGTCTCAAAATAACAAATAACAACCCAAAATAAAAAATAACAACCCAAGAGATACTAAACAGATCAAGATGACAACACTATATATAGTAGAAATGTTTAATTGGTTTAATGTTTTCAAACCTGGTTGATATTCAATCCTTCTTCTAATCTACTTAAAGGAAAGTTATAATCATATCTGCCCAAAATACTCTTGAAGCAAAGTTTGTATGCCTATCATGTATCTCTTAGGGAAGAAATGACACAAAAACCCTGCTACATATCAGAGGAAATTTTCTTGATCCAAAAATCAACTTATTTCAATTCTTCCAAAACACACTCACCCTTAAATAACATTGCGCAGTAAATCACACTTGAAAGTATTAGTAAATCCTTTTGGGTAAAAGATTATGAATAAAGGACCTAGTTAGATACTGATGTTTGAATAATATATTACTTGGTGCATTTCTTTGTCTTTCATTTTCAATGGAGGCTCTTAGAGCTTGTAAACTTTGTACAATGTTTGACAAACAAATGATGAAAAATTCCCTATGTGAAATAATGATTCATTTTTGAAGCTCCAATATCTGATATGGTTCTTACATTTTGAGGAATACTGACTGCAGACTATGTGATCCCTAAGGGTTTCACTGAAGGAAAATTGGCATTTTTACTTGAACTGAGATAGCGCGAAAATAATGTGCACTAACCCTGCAAACGTAAACATATTCTTAAAGCTTAATAACACAGATATATAATTTATTTTCATAATTTTTGCCATAGAACAGAATGGGAGCTTAGTCATTCACACTAAGACATTTTTCAAGATAAGTTTATTTGAAGAAGCATTTCAATCAACACGTTTCTTTTTTCTCGGAACATGATCGGAACATGATCGGAACATGATCGGAACATGATCTGAACATATTAAACAAAAATAGTAAGTCTGGGATTTGTATTTTAAGGCCTTGTTATTTTTAAACTCAATTTTAAATTCATAGTAGTGCTTTTGAGCTAAGTTTCCACTGCATACACTATATCTCAAGAAAAAAGGAAAAAATAAAAAATCTGGGACAAATTTTTGGAGTTCAATACATTTCCCACATTATCTCCAAATTTCATGAAAATAGACTGGATAAAGCCAAGATAGCCTAAACTCTTCAAGAATAAACTCTTCAAAGATCATAACTCAAGCTAAAACACCTTACTACGAAAAAGCGACTTGAAATTTCTGGTGGTATCGGTGTTTGTTTACATAAATGTGTTTCCACCTAACACCTGTGAATGCTGTCACCCAATCACATTGGAGCAAGTGATATGAGACTGTTTTGCCTGTTGGCACTAATGCCTGCTAGAGGGCAAAGATATAGAAGGAGCCTCAACCAGCAAAAAGAGGTGGAAAGAGATCAGGCAGAGGAAGGACTACACTCAAAACACAACATAACTTTTCAAGGATCAATACTTGAAGTGCAACGCTTTGCAAATGATAATGGACTGTCTGTGATATTTTTCGCAGACAAGCGCTCATGGCAACTTTGATAAAAAATAGACTCTGGCCACTGAATATCTTAAGCCTAATAAGAACCTCCATCACTATCAGTGAACAGTATTTCCACTCTCACGCAACTGTGAGTAAATTTTCCTTTTTTCTGGAATGGCAAAAGGAACTTGTTGCTTTTGGATATGATAGTAGCTGGAGTGCACCTAATTGTTCTTTCACTTTCACTTCTCAACCTAAATATAAGAATCAAATTCAGGCACTAGCAATGAGGAGGTGATGATATATTCTGAAACACAGAGGTAAGTTTTTTTTACCCTTTTACACTTTAATGCCAGACCAAAGATGGGCTCCGTGTGAAGAGCACATCTAAACAACACCAAGATTAATTTAAAGTAAAAAAGATCAATGGGAAAGAGACAAGTAGCAAATCAAAATGCTGAAAGAAGTTCAAGTTTTATCGTTCAACGTTCTATCTTCGTTGTAGCCTCGAATATATGTCATGTCGAAAATAATCTAGCATTTAAAAACCACAAAAATTGATTGATTGTAAAAGATTATAAGCGAAAGGGATCAATTCAATGAAGTATTTTACACATATGGAAGACAAAGGGCAATGAAGAATTACCGACAAACATCTTACCAATGAGTGAATAAGCTAAATGAATAAGGCGATAAGTTTCTGAAAAAACTATGGTGCTGCATCGGTGGTAGAGTATAACTGGGTAATTTAGTATTATCACCTAAGTTGATGACGTAACTTAGCCACCGAAAAGAGTTTAAAAGCTGACGTTTCGAGCGTTAGCCCTTCGTCAGAGCTATCGTATTAAAGTGAATAAGCTAGGCTTTTAACCCAAACCGCGTGGGAAGACATACATGTAAGAAATCTTCTTGCCATATACAAATGTGAGTCTTGAGAGACCTTAAACTGTACATAGAGCTACAGTAACAAGCTGCAATTTCATCACTGAAGTACGTTCGTTTTAGGGTTAACCTTGATATCTTTTGGAGACTATTCTTATAGAGCTTTAGATAACACAAACCATAAAATACACTCGCGAACTAAATTTCTGGAGCAAACCGGCTCTTGTCAATTAATTATGAATATGAATTTGTAATAATTTACGTTGTGCTTCATTAGATTGCTACGGTTATTTCGACATCACTTTACTAAACACACTCTTCTCACCTCCAAACCCAAAGAAGGATCCAATTTTTATGTTACCAGGTAGAATTTATGCACAATCCTTTCACAGACGGTTATCCTCCGCCGCTCAAAGACGTTAGAGGTACGCCCGAGGAGCACTAGTGACGAGTTATAATGAAGGATGATTACCAGACTCGATTTACCAACAATAAAGGACGTGATTGAATCAGAGACGAACAATATTACATGCTTTACATGTGAAGAATACATTGCTGTTTAATTCAAGGAAATTTCGCCAAATTTTGTATGGCTGTTTCCTTCAACCTCGTCAATCTTAAGTTTCTTGTTCAGCAGAGTTTTAGCGTAACACTGTAGCCAGTAAGACCAACGCTTGCAAAGGTAAATAAAACAGCATGAATAGTATCACCACTATAAGGCCCTCGTCATAGTGCTACTGGTTAGAAATATTCCTAGGATGAAATTTCTATTGTCTTGTACCTCTAGCCAGTGGGGTCTGAAGGGGCTTATAAAATACTACCGGCCAGAGGTAAAGCTTGCATACATAGTCGACCTTGCCCAATTTTTATTACGGTTTGTTCCACGTCTGACTTTTCTGTACTCCAAATTAGTCTTACACTCTTTGGAATCACTTTTTACAAGTGTACGTTTACATTTATTTTTTTAATTTGGTCTTGTACCTCTAGCTGGTAGGATCTTAAGAGGCTTAGAAAATGCTACAGGCTAGAGGTACAGCTTGCATATTTAAGTCGACTTTGCCCAACTTTTTCAACGATTTGCTTCAAATTTTACTTTGCTGTACTCCAAATTAGTCTTACACTCCTTTGAATCACTTTTTTCAAGAACATGTACACATTTATTTATTTTTATGTGGTCTTGTGCCTCTAGTTGGTGGGATCTTAAAAGGAGCTAGAAAATACTACCGTCTAGAGGTACAGCTTGCATACTTAGGTGACTTTGCCCAATTTTCATCACGGTTTGCTGCACATTTTACCTTTCTACACTCCAAATTGTAATCTTACACTCCTTGGAATCATTTTTTTAAAGAATACATTTGATTTATTTTTATTTGGTCTTGTACCTCTAGTACAAGTAGTAGTAGTAGGATCTCAAGAGGATTAGAAAAGACTACCAGCTAGAGGTACAGTTTGCACATTTAGTCAACTTTGCCCAATTTTTACAGCGATTTGCTCCACATTTTACTTTTCTGGACTCCAAATTAGTCTTACACTCCTTGGAATCACTTTCTCATGAATACATTGACATTTTGTTCTTTATTATTTAGTCTTAAACCTCTAGCTGGTAGGATCTTAGGAGGCTTAGAAAATACATGAAGTACAGCTTGCAAATTTAATCAAGTTTGCCCAATTTTCATTACAGCCTGCTTTGCATTTTACTATTTGGCATTCCATTTTAGTCTTGTACTACATTGGAATCACTTTTTTCAAGAATATCTTCTTGTTCCTTGACCATGAACTTACCACTGTTTATTAGATGGCACAGCTCACAAGCTATGAGCATCAAATGATTCTTTATGGGGAATCAGCTGAAACTAAAGCAGGCACTATTAGGCAATAAGCAAAGGGTTTCTGGTTGGTGATAAATTGAGAAAAGTTTGATTTCTTTTTAATAATAGCAATTTTTATTAAAAAATACAGTAAGTAACATTGGCACAGGTTAATTTAATGTATTTAATTGTATAAATTCTATATATGTATAATAAAAGACCATTTTATATTTTCAAGAATAACTTGCCTTAAGGTTTTCATTCAGTCAAACATGCTGTTAAATATATAAACATTGTAAGGAAAATGTCAATTTGGTGAATTAAAATCATATTATCCTAGAGATGACTTGATTTTAGTATTTCAGACAAGGGTTATTGGCCTTGTCAACATTACCTCTAATCAAACGCAAACATCATGAAAATAGAGGCTGTTCCTTTCCAAGAAATTCCACTCATATTTATGCAGAGTATTGCACAACAAACTTCAGTAAATTTGGTTGACATATTCGAGTCTAAAATGAATTTCCAGTCAAATTCATTTAAAACTGGTTTGAATTATATTGGAATAAATCTTCAACCAAAAAAACAATCGGACTAGTTTAAAATTTATTTACTCGAAATTCATTTAAAACATAACAATTTCAAAGATTTCAAGCTTATTTCACATACATAAGCTGCCCCTCTGGTTAGTAATGTTGTCGGAAATGAGCCTAAAGAATCTGCTATGTTCCGAAACTCCACGTTTTATTTATAAAATCAACTTGATCTTCCTCTCTCTCTCACCATTCTCGTCTCACTGCCACTTGATGTTCTCATGTGCTAAGTAGTCTTGTGTCTTCTCGTCACGCTTAACCTGTTTGAGCCACTTCTCGGCGCCAACAAAGGTTTTGCCATTGTCAGATTGATCTTCTCCGGACGCCCACGGCGCGATGAGCCGTTTGAAACTTCTAAAGAATTCACTGGTCGCTAGGTTTGGTAGTACTTCCTGGAATAATCCTCGTGTAAGACTGCATGCGTACAATGCAAGATAGGCCTTTCCTTCTGTTTTGGCTCTGATACGGTACTTGATGGGTCCTGCTCCGATAACCTCGAATGGGGTGCTCTCCTCTGGTCAATGGGTAGGAGTCCAGGAGGCGGTGTTGCCATAGCCTGAAACTGCTTGCAGCCTGAACACGCCCTGAGAACTTGTTTTACGAGTGCCCTTAAACGCGGTACCCAGTATAGCTCTCGCACTTTGGTAATGGTAAGGGCCACTCCTCCGTGTAGTGTGTCGACATATGATCGATGAACTAACTTGCGAGTGAAGGGCGAGGAGTCTGGCGGAAAGATGGGGTAATGGCCTTGAATTCTTCCCCTACAATCTAATATCCCCTCTTGGTTTCCTTGCATATCAACTGTAAACGTTCTTCTTCAAATTTCTCGCTCGAATTTGCTTGTTGTTGAGCTCGTTTGATCCAGAACGTTGTCTGTTTCTATATTTCTTCAGTTGTAAGGAACGATTCTCTGTTTACGGACGGTTCTTATGTTGTGGAGGAATCTCCCGATCCAGGCACCCACTCACAACACACGCCACAGCTCGTGCTTCTTCAGCAGCTCATCGAAAGCGTCGTTGTTCTCTGTTTTCTCTACTGCTAGAGCAAACAACTCGCGCGTTTGTTTCACTTCTTCCGCCTTTGATTCTTGGGTAGATGTCGTTACAAGGTCTGGTGGCCAGTCGTGTGGTTTTGCTAACCAGCTTGGTCCCTGCCACCAAAGAGCTGTCAATCTACTAACATCTCCTCCCCGACTGCCCACGTCTGCTGGATTCTCCTCTGTTGGTACATGCCTCCAGTTAATTTGTTTTTCCTGAATCTTCCTTACTCGATTTCCCACGAACTGTTTGTATTCGCCATTTCCACGGATCCAGTGCAGTGCTACTGGGCTATTCAGCCAACCATAAACACTTCTTACGGGAAAACCCTTAAGACTTCTTTCACATTTTGTACTAGGTTTGCAGCCATATGTCTAGCTACTAGTTACTTCAAATGAGAAAACTGAGCTACGATTTCTGTGCATTTTGGGTTTTCCAATGTCAACAACTCTTTGCGGTCGACTTTGTTTACTTCGGCTTCTAAGGTGAATTTGCCATCCACGCTTCGAATTTGTAGGCCATAGATGTCTATCGTTTTGTTTGAAGCACCAAACATCATTTCAAAGTGCTTGAATTGTTGACGGATGGGACGCAAATGTAAACAGTCCAGCAGCGTTGATGAAGCGTAGGAACTTCCGGCTCCCGTATCCAACTATGTTGGACACTTAATACCATTCACGTCAACTGTAACCATAGGATTCACCACTCCTTTTCTTTCCATGCTCGTTGTGGTCATCAGCTGGTCTCGCGATGTAGGTTTGTCACAGATCGATGTATGATGTCTTCGGCTGCATTTGCAGTCAGCAGCGCGGTGTCGACTTCCCGTGCAATTAAAACACAGTTGTTTCAGACCTAATTGCTTCCTGCGGTCTCCAACTGTCACAAACTTGTTACAATTTACAGCTCTGTGGTCAGTTGCGTCACAGTAGATACACTCTCTTTGTGTTGGCGTTGTTTCGTTTGCATCAAATGTTTTTTCGCGATAGCGGAATTTAGAACCTTGCTTCCCTGCATTATCCGTACCGCTCACAATGGGGTTAATTTCCTTCCAACTTTTCGAAGCTTTTATCAACCGTGGGAAGTCCCAGTCCTGCCAGTCAATTTGTCTTCTTACTAAATCTGCTATTACACCCTTTAGTTTGTCGAGCACACTCCTTGCATTTCCAGACACATCTTTCAATTTGCCCTGAGTCTCCAAAGATTGTACATTGTACACGAGCTGCTTGTAAAATTCGTGGATAGGCGCAGGTTGTGTTCCGGTAATGACAGGCAAATTCGTGATGTTCTGGACGTACGCATTTACGATCTCGCTCGTTTTCCCATATTCGCCGATGAGGATATTCTTTGCCCTCTCGTAGCCCTCTGTTGTGAAAGGCAGTCCGTCTATCTCCGCTCAAACCTTTGGATCTACCAGCTCTTTTAGGTATGCAAACTTGGTCACAGATGCAAGGTTTGCTGTATCAATTTCAGCTTGAAATTTTTTCCAGAATGGCAGTCATGCTTCATACGTCCCATTAAATTTTGTGATCTGTAGTTTCGGTAGCTTTGTTGTCCTTTGTTCACTCTGATTAGCCTTCTCAACAGGTTGCTGTTTTGCCTTGGTCTCCTCCAGTTGGCGTTCGAATTCTAACTTCATCTCCATTTGCTCTCTTTCGAATTTGAGCTCCTCAGCTCTTCGCGAGCACGAGCCTTCTTCTCTTCTTCGTCCTTTTGCTTTCGATGTTCGATCTCTTCATTCGTCTCCACGAGCCATTTTTCCAGTCGCGAAACTTCTTTGTCAGTTTCAGCGATCGGTTCTTCGATGCTACTGCTCCAACTTCCAATGTCTTCTGCACTTTTTCCGGCTTCTAACATGGTCTGCTCAACCCTTAGTTTAAGCGCGTCTACTTCTTTTACTAATGCTTGTAGGTCGTCGCGATGTCGCGCGACCGCTCCTAGGTTTCCCTTTTCCACAATGCCAAGTGTTTTTCCATTAGTGTACAGCAACATCTGCAATTTAGCCTCT